ACAGGTATGTATAATAGGCTACTTGTGCGGTTATGAGCACTATAGGTAAAACAGGAACAAAAGTTTATATAATTTCCAAACAAATATATTGAAAGCCTANAACAACTTTTTTTAATCACTGTTAATTACATATAAAGCACAGGTATGTATAATAGGCTACTTGTGCGGTTATGAGCACTATAGGTAAAACAGGAACAAAAGTTTATATAATTTCCAAACAAATATATTGAAAGCCTAGACCACAAACACCGATCACATACACAGAACTAACCCAAAAATTTTTATTCATTTGTTCGCTTACAGAATATTCTGTGGCTTAACGTATGTATGAGTGCTCAGTAAACGGTCGGCAACGGAGTGTGAGATATGTGGGAACGGCTTGTAATGCCTGTGCTCTCTATCACTCACTACTAGTATGCATTGGTAGCGCTTAGAGCATGCGATCCTATGGTCTCTCTCTCTCTCTCTCTCTCTCTCTCTCGTCGACAATCCCTGTGCTGTGCTTTACAGTCAGGCCATACATTCACATACATGTAGTGTATATAATAGACAAGAATATTCTGGCAAAAGTGTTGTGCAATAAAAACCTTTTCTCTGGATAGCAATGCAATGCAAACCTGTTTTAATAGCATATTATTAGTTAATTACTAATTAACCCGTAATTAGTTTTATTGGAAAAGTTTTTATTTTTGCATATTATTTGACGTCTAAACCTTGAATACCCTGTCAGGCTATCGATAAATCAATACATGATGTATAATGTAGTGAACATCTCATTATTGTTACAAAATCTCAATAGTGAATGAGAAATATTAGTTTAATTAACTAAATTTACATAAATTTCAATCTAATATACAACATTTAGAAAATATCGATATATTAATAAATTTACTAGTTTTAATTTGGTTGCAAATAATTATACTCACATTTGCTTTACATTACAAAATTTTCAAATATTAACCTTTAAAAAATACTATATACATTTCCAACAAGCTAAATACACTAGCACACTTTTGTCGCAAAATTAAATTACGAAACAGATTTATAATAGTAAAATTGAGTTTACCATACATCCAGTACACTTTACAACAGTAGACAGTGAGTTGAGTGAACTTTTCACAATTGATTTTATATTTTTGTGATATATTTTGTATCACAGAAAAGACTTATTTAATAAAAATGAATACAAAGCTATTAATAATTGGAGACAACGTTTTCACATAGAAAAAAGTCACTTTGATTTTCATATGATATAAATGTTTCCGCTTTTAATCATTTTAAATGTTAAACATAAATAAAACATAATTTTCTGAAAATTTTCTGTTACAAGTTATAACATAATATCATATAAACGCAAATCAATACTTAAAATAAGACACAAATAATAATAATCAGACTAAATATTTAAGTTTTATGTTTGTGTGCTATATTATTATTTCGTATTAAATGATAGCGCCGACAGTTTACGGGGACTTACATTGCCATTGATTGCAGAATCGATAATATTTATTATAAAATCAATTTTAAGTATACATTAGAAACAAAAAAAGGTTTTTACTTTTTAATTAATTGTTAATATGTAGTAATATTATATGTATAAACACTCGTTTTTCCTATTTATTAATATGTTGTTTATTAAGTTATTTGAATACTAATGACTTCACAAACAAATAGGCATATTTTTGTTGCTTAACACCATTTTAAAAACAAAAACTAAAATAATATTTTATTTGAATAATAGAAATACAAATTATTATAAAATTAATTGAAAACTTTTTTTGTGTCTGCAATTGATAATCAATATTATAAATAAAATAACAAATAAAATAAAATATAAAACAATAGTTTTATTGGAAAATTTTATTATGTTTTATTAGAAGTGTAAGTGTTCCCAATTGTACCCCGATAACTAATCAATTAAATAAACAATAAACATATTATTTATTAGCGAAATAGGTAATTTTCCAAACTTTTAACCAATTTATATTTTAAATAATAATAAATAGTTTAGTAAACCTTTAACATTATAAGTTAACACACAATTGTTTCTATATATCCTTATAATCTCATAATCTCTTAGCATCCCTTTCCTATAAATAGGCCTAACCCATTATTTAATCCAAGTAATGGATGCTATTTTAATTATTTTCAGTTTGAACTTTATCATATATTATTTTAAATTAGTTTCCTGACCGGCATTCCTATCTGCACTGGTATTTTCAGCTAAAACACACGTCAATGGAGTCTAGCCATGAAATTAAGCCAATTTAACTCAAATGTTAGAAACAATTGATTTTACATTAGGATTTATTATTTAATTAAAGTGTTTATTAAATTTAAGTATATTTAATACACGTGGAGGTCATTGATATAAAACAAATACATGTTGAGTGGACAGACCTATTGTTTGATGGATTGTGCACTTAATGTCTAATAATATGTTATTGAACTCAAGTATGCGGACAAACACTAGTGTATTTCAATGTACTTCATGTCCGGCTACTGTAGTCTCTCTCTCTCTCTCTCTCTCTCTCTCTCTCTCCCTCTCTCTCTCGAGTTAAGAGAGAATAAGAATATTCTTTAAACAGAATAAAACACTTAAACTCATGTGAAGTTCATTGCAATTCTGGTGACAAAAAAGCACTACAAAAGTGGCGGACAATTACTTTCACTGCAAAAGTTATACACAAAATCCTATTTACTATTCCTCTCACACTTAATGCCAAAAACTGTTTGACTAATAAAATTGTCACTAAATATTGAAGTCCATAGCAAATGCCTCCCTTTCCACACACAGAACCTGAATAGTAATGATCATAATTGTCTACTGTATAATATAGACGTCTGTAATAAATATGCCATTGTACGATTATTTAGTACATTTTAATTATGGTTAATAATACTACTTAATATGTTACCTAACTAATAATACATGTATTAGTATTTAAAAATATTAATAAATTACTTTACAATCGTAGCTAGGAAAAATCGATAAACAAAAATACAAATTGAATTTCAAATGAGAAATTGATGTTTAAATTCCGGGAAACATCATTTAATAAAAACAAAATTCTTTATAATTGTTTACACGTGAGGCAAATATCGCCATTATATTTATAATAAAACTTAATGTCTAATAATATTTCAATCTTTACTTCACTATTTTTATACCAAAAAACAGGAAACTATGGTAGAGATTGTTATATTGCGATTATAGTGGATAGGTTTTTGTTGTATTTTATTTTTGGCTGAGATTTATATCCAGAGACAAAAACACTAAAACTCTGAGACTTGTCTGATAAGAGATGTCTACAGAAAAGCAAAAATGCTTGAAATAAAAAACTTAAGTAAAAAGGTTTTTGTATTTGCTGCGAGAGTTTGATACGACTTTCGATGCCATCAATGTTAACATAATTTTCTCAAACAATCTACTATTTGGTGATCGACTTATTTATTATTATCTGATTTAATGAAACAAATATAAAGTTAGTGCCAAGAAATACCAAATAAGTCCTCTCTCTCTCTCTCTCTCTCTCTCTCTCTCTCTCTCTCTCTCTGACACCAAAATAAATGTCAATTTCACCATAAATACAAACCCGAGTGACTATTTGTGTGTTTGTATAGCAATCATAGGGAAACCTAATTATTTGCTTGTTATTAATATAACTGTATATAAACTAATGTATTATAGTTTTTTTTTCATTTAGAAAAACACAAAAATTGCTTTTTATTTATTATTTTAGTTTCCATTCCTATGAAAAATCTATTATTTATTTATTTATACGGTTTATAGCGATGTATGCGTTTTGTATATCTATGGGCGCATTGATCCAAATAAATGTCAATTTAATCATACATTTAATCTGTTAATCACAGCCATGTCCTACCGATACAAATGTGAAGTGAAAATACGATAAAATACAATATTATAATAAAAATGGTATAAATTAGGTTTAATGTAAATATTTTATTGAAGATTATGTTATTGTTATTACTTATTCAATTTATGGCAATTATTTATTTCTACAGTATTTATTATTCATTAAATTCAATATTCAAAATGAAATTGATTTTATAAGTTATTTTTTAATTTTATTAAATTCTAAATTTTAAATATATTTCCTTTTTTACATAAATCCTAGCTTGATTCATTTATTACAAATACGTATTGACAAATTAAAATAAATATTGTATTCATGTTCAATTTTATATTTATCTCAAAATAGAATATACAATTTATAAATAGCAAATTTTTAATATAATAAAATAGAAACATTTATAATATTAATGATGCTTTTGATAATTAATAAAATTTTTGTTTGTATAAAAAACAGTGAACCCTATCTATTATATAATTATATATTCTGCTCACAAATAAACACTAAAATATAATATAATATATAAATTCTGTATATTCTGTGAAGACTTCTGATTTCAAACCAAAAGAGACAAAACATTACCTACTTGTGTGGCATACAGTATATTAAGTGCACTAATAGATTCTCTCTCTATCTCTCTCTCTTTCTCTCTCTCTCCAACTCTTGAACAGTAAATGACTTCAAATGGCTTTTAACTAAATTGCTTTCCTATCACTTGTATCCCTACTTATNCTCTCTCTCTCTCTCTCTCTCTCTTTCTCTCTCTCTTTCTTTCTCTCTCTCTCTCTCCAACTCTTGAACAGTAAATGACTTCAAATGGCTTTTAACTAAATTGCTTTCCTATCACTTGTATCCCTACTTTACATTTGATTCAAAACATATAATATATTATATTAATACACATTTACTAAATCTATATAATTTACAATTCATGTACATTTCTAAAAACTACAATTAAATATTAAATCACAAAAGATATATTTTTACTACAAAGCAAATAATATAAACTAATTTAAAAATTATAAATATTTTAATTTGATAAATTGAATAAAAATTGCAATTATTTGTAAACTGAATCAGATTTTATTTGAATCTCAAAATCATTTGAAAACTACTGATCACTCAATTGTTTGGTTGATAAGGGGTGTAATAATACGACTCAATCTTTCCGATCGACGGAAAGTCATGTCTCTTGTGGTAAACCCAACCATCAATACCCACATAACCATTGCTGCCGTCGCACTCAAACTGATTGAGCAGTTTTGTGACTGCATTGTCCTGTTTTACACACTCAAAAATGTCGTGGAAAATGGGTTTCTCAGCCTTTTTATAATAAAATACCTGTCCCTGCTCATTTATACGAGTCAAGCAATCGTCAACCACACGCCCCTTTTCATTTGTGTTCATTTTGATGCAATAGTATTCAATTATCCCTTTGTGTTTGACGTAACTGATCACACCATTAGTTTCGTATTGAATGAGTGGAAACTCGGGAGGCATTGGGGGTCGGGTGTGGTTGGGATTAGTTGGTGTCCAATGGCTTACCCGAGATTTGTATAGAATAGGAAGTCTGTCCATCCCTACTTGTCTCCGATTAAACGCACGGTTACTTCTATGGATATCGATGTCGATCTCCCGGTGCACTACACCTAATATCTTGTACATCATATCGTCGGTGTCGGGTCTCACGAACTCTTTGTCGTGATTGATGTGAAAGTTGTGTCTCTCCATACTGGTGTTGGACTCGTGTAGGCGCTCATACCGGTGCCGGACCTTCAATTCGTCGATACCTGCGTCCCAGTCCTCGATGGCGAGGATGCGACCGCCCTCTGGCATAATCAGAGTACAGGTGCGATGATTATGCTTTCGTTCAATCATTTCTATCCGCAGATCCCACGCAATGGACCCGTACTCGGACTCATTGGGCCCCAGGAATAGCACCGGATTTCTAATGGCTTTCACTCGACTCCGATAGTCGGCGGCGAAGACAAACGGACTGTCCCTTTTGATACCGATATACTTAAGCTGATAATTGGGGGCCTTATCACCGAATATCGATGTGTGGAACTGGATCTTCCCCTCGACCACCGTGTTACATAGGGGTCCCGACACCAGGCGTAGATAAGGCTGGTCATACTCGAGTAGTCGAGTAATGCCCTCAGTTAACAACCAGTTAATATACAGTGCGTTTTGGCAATAACTTGGTCTCCAATAGTATCTCACCGGTTGAAGGCGTATGTACTTTAGACCATTCATTTGCAACAGATTAGGTGTGACCCAGGCCATTAGTAATTGTCTGGAATGTCTAAATAGGGATCAAATTTGTCTGATATTTGCGATCAATTTGAATGAAACTGCGATATGATTTGCGACAAAATACTCAATCATTATATTGTTGTGTTGAAAATTTCTATCTATTAAATTTTGTATTAGTTATTAGGCATTTATAACTTATGCCAACATTTTTGAATTTTATTTTCTATATGAATTTGTTTGAAATACTGTATCAATAAATCAGAAAACTATTAATTTTCTAACATTTCAAATAAGATGGTACATTTATATATCAAGATTTATTAGTTATCAATTACATTTATTTTACTAGAAATTAATGGCCAAGTTCAATTCACTTTATTATTGGCAATCTTTTCCACCAAATCGGACACAACCTTCTTATCACTGCTTTCTCGCATCCTTTTCCCCATATCAGCCACTCTTAGGGCCAGTGCCTCGTCTTTGGCCATCGCATCCACGGCTGTCAACAACTCCTCTTCCGTACAGTGGAAGGGATTAAGTCTTAATCCCAGTCCCGTCTCGACCACCCTCTGGGCCACATCTAACTGATCGCCAAACAGTGGTAACACAAGACACGGCTTCCCGAAATAGTAACTCTCGGTGACAGTCGTCCCGCCGTGCGATACAACCAAATCGACTTTGGGAAGGATAGCCGTCTGGGGCAGAAACCTCTGGCCCCACATATTGGGCGGCAATTGGTGCGACTCAAACGCCGGCCCCTTTGAGACGATGAACCGGTGCCGCGATTTGCCTAATATTTGTGTCAACCGAGTCATGAGCTCGACGTTCGCGCACCCGAACGAACCCATCGACACGAATATGAGTTTACTGTCGGCCGGCCGGTGGGCCTGGAGTTGGGCCGGTATGTCAAACGTGTCGTTTGTCGTGCGGATGAAGCTCTCGACCCGAACCCAGTTGTCGGACATCGGTTGCAGTTCCGAGTATTCAAACTCTTTGGGCCAGAAATAGATGTTGAGGTACGGGCTGAGAGGGTGTAGGCGCCCCTCCACTAGTTTTGGTGCTCCCTTTTCTACGGTGTATTCATTGATTTGTTTGTGTAAATTATAGTATAGTTTTTGACGCCGTTCCCGGAATTTAGCCCAATCTTTGCGGTCATGTAGGGGTAGGCCTATCGTTTATTTAGAAAATTAATATTTTTACATATTTGATTTAATACAGATACTAATTTGGAGTTTACTATTTTAATAATAAACTATAATATATATAATACTTTTATTATAAATTTAAATATAATATTTATAATATATATTATTTATAAAACTATGGTATTAAATTAAACTGATGATATTATTTTAAAAATTAAATTAATTGATTCTATTTTTAAAATTTAATGTATCAAATAAGTATTGAACAAACTATTTATAAAAATCAAATAAATAAATAAAGCTAGATTACATACCAGCCCACGGCGGTGGTATCCTATTGTCATCATTGAGTGCAAAGTGTACGGCCGCCGAGAACAACCATACCCAAGGTATTCCACAATTAGTAATCGTCGGCATATTTACATAGTTATCCGTCACAATCAAATCGGGGTTTACTTTGTCGATGATCTCCTTATACTGTGCCTCCCGTTCCTTATTATCGGCAAACATTTTGGTCATAGCGTTCACTAAGAACTTCTCGACAATAACAATGGGCTCTTCTTTGAAACACTGGCCGTTCTTCTTGACAAACTCTGGCCAATACTCCTCGGCCTCCCCGTCCACTTTCAAGCCATGTATACACTCCTCGAACCCAAAGGGTAGTAGTTTTCCCTCAAAGGCCTTATCGACGGCAAACACCACCCGATGTCCTCTCCGTTTCAACTCCTCGGCCAACCCGTGACAGGCGTTGATGTGTCCCCAACCGTCAAGTGGTGTGAACAGCACCGTTAGCTTTCTAATAGTCATTGTAATTGCAAACTTAGTCAGAAAGTTGTACTTTCAATAAATAAATGATTATTTATTTTATGATTACTTAATTTAATTTTTTCTGTGTTTTATATAACATGAAAATTGCATCAAAAGTGCATTAAATGAGATAAAATACAGTATTTTTGAAGTAGTGTTTTATGTGAATTGCCGGTTCGTATCAGCTTTTATTATAACATATCAGGATAATTTCAATCAAAAAGTGTTACAACTTTTTAAAAGTACTGTCAGTATTATATTATCAGTTCAGTTCATAAATGATAATCACTTTCATTTTCTTGTAGAAACATTCAAATAAAGTTTTTAATTTTTAATTCTGCATTCATTTAAGAGATAACATAATTTGCTTTTTTCATTTTACTATTTATTGAATTACACAAACTATTTGATATATTAGATATAATAATTTATATGTGTTGTTGTCACTATAGCGGTGTGATACTGGTTAAATTGCTTTTGAATTATGACATTTAAACAAAAAAGACATTAAACAGATAACAAACTGAAATTTGAAATCTGAAATAAAAGACTGAATTTTATTATCAAAATCTTAATGAGTGTTTGTAAAGTGAAATGTAATACAGTATAATTAAACGCAAAATATAATCTTATTTGCCGTACACTATTATAAATAAATTAAACCTATTTTGCACTCATGATATTGATAATGGTCTGGGTGGTTCAGTACAATTTTAATGTGTGCATGCACTGTACTTTAATACTAATATATCCTAGTGTAATAAATTAAATAATTATTAATTTTAAATTATTTAACGCATACATTTAATAGATATATTTTATTTGAATTAATAAATCAAACCATTGAATACAAAATAAATGTGAATAGAAATACTTTTTTAATAAAATCTATTGAAATCATTGAATACTTGACTTTGTATTGAGAACTTATGGATATAAATGTCAACTTTTGGATGAAATCATATTCACATTGTTTCTTGTCTTTGGAGGCGTTTGTCAATCACTTCACGTCTTTCTCCTCTTTGTTTCCGGTGTCACATCCGACCCAAAAAACCTCTTTCTCGCCGATAATGGTTTGGTTTCTCCCGGCTATAGTTTGTATGCGTTGTTGGTATGTTATAATTTCTCCCCTTTTCTCTCATAATAATACATAATTAAGTAATTTGAACAGGTAGTTAAGTAATAAATTTTTAGAAATTGTATTACTTGTATTTATTTATAAATTTCTAATTCAAATGAACGCAAATTGAAATAAAAATACTTGTTTTAATGCAATTAATAGAAATCAATGAATGCTTTGAATTGAAAACTGATGGAAATGATTGTTACTTTTAAAGGCATTGATACTCTATTTGTGTGTTTTCTATGAATTGTTTGTCAGTCTATAAACTGATCTTCACTTAAGTCTTGTGCCTCTTTGGCCCCGACTGTTGTGCTGACTGTTGATACGCTCTGAGGGTTGTCTTGAGGGTCCTCTTCGAATACGTGGGAGAGGGGGTGGAGGCGGTGGGGCTTCTGGTCCCGCATACTGGGGGTCCGCCACATAATACAAGGACCCAATCACTCCCACTCTTCGTTCCCAGTCATCATTTTTCTTGTAAAAGCGTCCGTCGATTCCCATATAACCGGACACTCCGTCCTCTTCTCCGCCGTCTTCGCCAAACGGTTTCCTATCGAAGCAATTGATGTAATTCTCGTGGAGGTCTCCCCGTCGGTAATAGTCTTTGTCCCAGTGGTCGGCAACGGTCTGGTATTTGTAGATATAGTTTTCGGGTAGCATTTGTAACTTGTGGTCGGTGTCAAACTTCTCCTCAATCACATCGTTGGACATGAATCCGGGCTCTCGTTTGCGGTAATACTTCTTTTGTACGGCCATATTGGGCTGTATGTGCGGCCAATCGGGGGGCATATATGGGCGGACGTCTCTAGTCGTCGTTCCCATTGTTGTCGACTTCGGTACTACTTCTCCACCACAAGACTTGGTGACAGTTGTTGTAAATAACGGGTAGGGGCTCCTTATCCTTTGCACTCTTATGGTAATCATATTGAGGGTGAAAAACTTGATATTGACTTTACCAAGGATACCAAGGATTTTGTTCATCATACCCGGCTCCGGGACTACAAACCCATTCGTGGGATTAAGATAACTGTTGTCATTCATCTCGACATTCGACTCGTATAGGCGTTCATATATATGCCTGGCTTCGATTTCGGCCCACCCGTCCGCCCATTCCTCAATGGCATGGATACGGGCGCCCTCTGGCACTACGAGATGACACACTTTTCCGTCAATTTGTAAATTTCCTTTGGGAATGATGTCGAGTCTCCAAGAGATGGACCCGAACTCGGACTCATTGGGCCCCAGGAATAGCACCGGATTTTTGAGTCCATTCATTTTCTTATAGAGCTCCTCACCATCTGCTAGGAACTCAAATGGAGTCCATTTGTACTTCAGTGCCTTCTCCGGACCCTGGAATTGACCCTGATCCACTTGACAGATATGGTATGGCTCACGATCGTGCGATACCACCAAATCTATTGTTACAAAACTGATCTATTATTTTATTTAATACACAGTATTATCATTTACTTCATTTACATGTGCAGTGTTTCTCAATAATTAAATAAAAATACATTTTTGCAATTATCATGATACTTTAATTTTCTACACAAAAACAAATCCAAAACCAAATCTTTTGCAGTGAATCACAAATCGGTTGTCATTGAGTCCACTGACCTCTCGGCTGAATGGGAGACAAAGACAAGGATAACCCGGAAGGGCTCAAAGTGGGGAAGCGGTATCTGGTGGGCAGGTATTTGGCCGGGGGTTCCTTCGGACGCCTCTATACCGGCAAAAACATTCAGACCGGCGAAGAGGTGGCCATCAAAATGGAGAGACAGGACATCGAGAAGAAACAGTTGACGTTTGAGTTCCGCTTCTTTAAGATACTGAAGGCGGAGGGCGCCCAACATAAGGGCATCCCTCGGATCTACTACTTCGGTCCGGTGGGGGTGTGGAACGCCCTCGTGATGGACCTATTGGGGCCCTCCCTGGAGAAGGTGCACGACAGGTGCGGCACAAAGTTCAGCCTCAAGACCACCATCCAGTTGATGATCCAGTTGTTTGACGTGATTGAGTACTTCCACGGAAAGGGTCTTATCTATCGGGACACCAAACCCGAGAACTTCCTGTTCGGACAGTCGGGCACCGACTCCTACAGCGTCGTCCACATCATAGACCTCGGCCTCTGTAAGGAGTACTTGGATGACGAGGGAAAGCACATACCATTTGTCGAGAACAAGGGCGTGACGGGAACGGTACGCTACATGTCCGTCAATAACAACCGCGGCTGCGAGCAGGGCCGCCGGGACGACATGGAGGCGCTCGGCTACATGTTTATATACCTCATGAAGGGTGAGCTGCCGTGGATGGGCGTCAAGGCAAACACCATACCCGAGAAGTACCGGCAAATCGCGCGCATTAAGGAGCGTACGACACCGGAGGGTCTGTGCGCTGACCTGCCCCGGGAGTTCTGCCACTACCTGACGGCCGTCCGGGCCCTCGACTTCGCCGATGAGCCTAAATATAAGGACTACATTCAGATGTTCAGCAAATTGTTTAAACAAAAGGGCTTCAAAAACGATAACGTCTACGATTTCGACCGAAACCATAAGCCCAGGAGATAGTGGGCTCAGGGGGTTGGGCTACACACTCATGCCTTCAATGTTTTCATCGATGCAACCACCCATTCATTACTTCATTGAATTCGTGAGTGATTTGTAATTAAAAATATTTGAACAAAACTATTGAGTTTTCAGACAAAATTGCTTTTCATTTATTAGTTTGAATTTATACTATCAACTTATATACTGTATATCACCTAGTATACATTTGTATTGACTAAAACCAACGTATTGTTCATAAGTAAAGCATCGAAATCCAGTTATTTAACTATTTGTTGCGATAGCCAAGAACTTCATGAGATTAGCTATGCATACGAATCATGTAATCAGGGTCATTTTAAGAGTTTTATTTTTACTATAAATAACTATTTGATTGGTTCGTAACTATTTTAATTATTTTAGAATTTTAAGCAAAATTAGGGCATAATCTTGAGATTTTGAATTTGAAATATAGAAATATTTATTTTTATTGACTTTTATTAATAAAGCTAACTAAATTGATTATAATTAATAATAGAAATAAGGTTTAGCCTACCTATAGGTACGTATTATAACAAATTGTACTTATTTTGGTTATGTATATATAGAAAGTATATTATTCATTTAAATTTTGATTTAATATATGATTTATTAGATGCCAAAGTTAAAAAACATAACATTTATTATACTGTATAACTCTTAGCGACAGTAATACGAGTTTCTAAACTAATTTGATGTGAATTGTATTGTGAAAGTGATAGTGCTTTCCATGCACTCAGTTATTCACGTTAATAATACACTCAATAAGTTAACACTAAATCTAAATAAACAGGTTCACTTCTAGTAACAAAATTCAAACTAATATATTTACTATATTTATAATTTTGTATAATTTAAACTAATATCTTATATATTGTTCATTAAATATTGTATAAGAGTTATTGTATGTTATATACAGTAGAGTATGTTTTCTATGACTGAATGCATACTGTATTTCTCGATTGAAGAGATTGTCGACTATTTTTATCAAAACTTGATGTCCGGCTCTTTCATTGTCTCTCTGTAGACATCCTTTCATTGTATTGAATCGGAAACATAAATACATTAATTGATTGCAAAGTGCTATTCATTTCATTTCACTTTTATCGCAATTGTAGTCAAAAATGTTTTGTTATTTTTTGATTCAATTATTTTTTATTTCTTTTATATTCAATTCAATCGATAATATTTGTAATCAGGAAACTGTTTGAATTAATCGATACTCTCTCTCTCTCTCTCTCTCTCACACACACACACACAACACAAATAAAAATTATTGTCACATTTAATTTATGTTATTATAATAAATAAATAATTTTATTTTTCGTAATAAATAAATACAACTCACAATTCTTTCCACTGAATATAGTGATTGAAAAATACATTTTACTTATAATCCAAAAACATTTACGACATCTGCAACAAAATAATTAATTTAAATATTGTGTGAATAAATAGATTTGACGAAATACATACTTCTCTCTCAAACTTATTGCAAATTTGAAAGCGTGCGGACTCGCCATCATTTATTTCACGTGTCATTACCGGACACAATTTGGACGAGAAATTCTTACGCACTCTATGTATCAATAATACACACATTATTATAATTAATCTATTGAGTACAAGTTAATCTCATAAAAATCTTATTTATAAAATATTATCCTACTTATGTATTATACTATATTAATGAACACTGTACGGTATACTAAACAGAATATTCTTGATTATAAGTACAGTAGTTTCATATGAATATCGTGTAAAAATGCTACACAAACCTGGGATTTGAATTACTCATAAAATTGACATCAATTCTTCTGATCTTAATCCCCGGTTTCCTAATCATAAACATTGGGTTCAACTGATCGATGCCACTGAAGGACCAGAACAGCTCTGCCGACAACACTAAACCCAAGTCCTTTGGATACGTCAATAGATAGGTATACCTCTGTTTCGGCTTAAATCTGTTCAACATTTGCGCCAATTTTACACCTAATTTGTCTCGTTTTTCACCAAAAAGTGATAATTTTATACTTCCAGTGGTTAGTGTACTGTTCTCTGATGTATACACCTATTATATACATTGACAAACAAATTTTATGTAAACAATTAAAATATAGTAATAATAATTAGTATTATAAATTAGTTTAGGCTTGTTACTAAAATTAGTAAAACTAATAGTTATTTTAAAATAAAACCTCATTAACTTAAAAGTGTTAATTAATATTGCTATAAATGTTTATAACTGTTAGTGAGATTATATTTTATAAAACATTTCAAAATATCTGTAATTATACTAAACCTTAAGTTAAAACATATAAAACATATGCAAATGATTTAATACCACAATCTGGTAGTGATATAAGCAAAAGGGAAACATTTCGCTGGTTTGTAGGAACAACTGTTTGGAGGTCTGGTCCTCAATGCGCTCTTCGGGGCCGATATGGTCGGCATAATCCCAGTAATTGGTGTCCAAATTCAATGGCTTACACTTCTCCTCATTGGGGCCGCAGTCGGCGCACTCCCCTTCCGCGAACTTCTCGTAACTCTCGCACTCGTATGCTATGAGTTGACAGGTGTTGAATAGGGAGGGCTCCGATATGGGCAGTATTGTGGCCCTCCTATGGTTGCAGTTCACGGTATCCACAATTCCTATCACACAATAAACAGGCAAAAATAGTGTGTAATACTCAATTAATTATGGTAAATACAAATTAAACCATAGTTTTAATTTTTAATTTGCAGACAATACTAGCTATGGGTGCATACCTTCAGCCCCTTTGAGCAGAAAGTTGGACACCCCTCGAGTCAGTTCACAACCAATTTGTTTGAGACCAGAGTTGGGATAGAAGTCAAAGTGTCCTAAAGAGGCCTCAATTCCAAACCCTATATTACATACAAATGTAATAAAAATTACACAAACATTGAGGTATAAAATCTGTTTAAAAAGCATATGTTAATCGCACATACCTTCTGACATAACAGTGCCCGCGTCCGTATGCAATATAACTACCAGATCCGCATCGCTGCGATCAAGCCTGAGGTCGGCCTCATCGGTCTGAAATGCCGGTCCCGCCGGGTCTAAGCCCAGGATTTTGGCCACTTTTGGGTAATCAAAGCGGGCCCCGGCGTAACCGGCTATATGCGCGCCCAGACTGTGCCCAATCATCTCCATGTCTTTAGGGCTGGCATTTGTCACGTTATTTAGCCTTTCGATGAAGTGGGCGACCATTGCTCCCACGATCCGGGTGTTGGCCACTGCCAGCAAATAGTTGGTAACCTTCGCGCCCTTTGACCTAAAAAACACATAATTAAAATACAAGGTTATAAATTATAACTTATAATCATAGCAACCATTACATACCAGTCCACACAGAATACATTGTAGTTACACGAACGCTTCAGAATGTAATCTTTCATATCCTACAGAATTTAATAATACAATTAAATTCTGCTATTAAATAATGATCTCGGTCCTTTAAAGGGGACAGAGAGGTAGTATTGACTGCGTGATACATACACCCATCCAATACATGTCGTCATAATAGTCGCGAAAGCCATGTATAATGAATTTGGTTTTCTTTCGCGGATCAAACGGCGACTTAATGATGGAGTCGTCGTCGGGCTTATAGCCGAACAGGAGGGGCCGGTACTTGTTCTCACACGTGAACAAATTGAATTGGATATCAATGGCCAGGGGGCTCATCGGCATCATCGATATGGGTCTGTCCAACACATGGAGATAATCATTGCTTGAATAGCAGCCCAAGTCTTGGTAGCAAACGGTTTGCAAGTCTAGCGACAAATTCAAAGCATTTTGTTATTCATTGAATCTTGTAATTAGTTTACGAGTAATTGAATCATCAATTAAAAGGGAAATGGGTGTAAGAAATAAATGCTTTTACTACTACTATTACTGTTTCTTATGGGCAAAGCACGGGCCAACTCCTGGAGCACATCGAAAGGCCAGCCCCTCATCTGCTCCTTAATCGAGTCCACAAAACTATAGGTGCTTTGATTGCCTTCATTTTGTTTATTAGTGCTGTTATTATGATTGTTGTTATTATTACTATTGATAATGACAGGTATACTGTCCACCAGCGGAATGGTATGTCGTATAGTCTGGAGCACTTGTGTCAGCTTAAGTTTCGGCACTGATATCCATACCATAGACTCGTTTTGCGATAAATCACTATTTGTATCGATATTATTGATTATTTTATCATCGCTGGACACATGATTTATGAATAATAGTAAACACAATGCAATTAATAATAAATATTTAAATCTATAATACAAGTAGTTATACATAATTTTCAATGATTTTGAAGCCCCTTTCCCCTGAAAATGGGGTCAAAGTGTATATCAAAAGTAAATATTGTTTTATAAACTATATTTCAGTGAATCTCTCAATGATTTCTAATGAATTTTATGAAAAACTTTTCATCAGTTTTTTGATAAAAAACATTTCCTGGTAATTTATTATAGAATATTCTGTGACCTAGATAAGTTTTAAAAAATTATTTTATATAACTTGCTATAAATTTTTAAAAACTATTTAATTTAGTTATTTGCTAATTACTTTCACCTGTAATTTGTTTATTATTAAATACATTTATAAAGGTTTAAGTTGATAACTCGTTTTTTTAGTTTCGTTTTATTTAACATAAAAATTATGGCCATTTATTTTTAAATAATTTATTAGTTTAAATAAAAATATTTGAATAGATTTTAATTTGAATAATTATTTAACATACTCAAAAAGTCATTTCACTTCATAAAATTATTAAATATAACTTTTGATAATCTATTTTTATTTATTAAAATAAAATCTAAAAAATAAAAATACTGTAGTATACTGTAGTCTAATTTAGGAAATATAAAAATTACTGTTAATTGTAATAATACCGGTAATAAATAATTTTTATGCATTTCTTTCACGAATATTACTCATTAGAAATGCATTGAAAACAATCCGAAAAATATTTTTACATTTCTGAATACAAAATAGTATTTTCTCTTTCTTTGGGAAATCCTTTTGTAATCCTTTCAGTGAATACTCGCTTGAAATGTGAAGAATAATGAAAATACTGCCAAACATTATGCTTTCCATACCATAATAGCATTCATTGACAATACATTTAGCAATATTACAGATTATTATTACTGTATTCATACTTACAAATCAAAAAGTCATTGATTTTGTCTGTCAGCAGAGCATCAAAGGAAATATTTTGTCAATTTCTTGTCACCACTTTTACTGCCATTTAGTAAACAGTTTACTAAACTCTCAGTTATACAGAACTCATACGTTATGATAAGACCATCTGATAAGTCATAATAAAAATGTTTAATCATTACATCCGATTGCTATTCATAGTAATCTTTACCTCAAACGAGTTGAACATAACTCTGGGGATTAAGCGGGTGTCCAGTCAGGAGTGGTCGCATACCCGGTACGGCGGTGGTTATGGTTATGGTGGTATGGGACTGGGCTCCGACACCACCGAGTGGTCACTGGATAGCCTGGGTATGCAAGGGATACAGGGTATGCAATCGCCGGGCAATATCGAAGTGGTGAGCACCGGTGGCTCAGGTGATAGTGGATTGACATCGTCTGTCGAGACGAGTGTCCAGTCTATTGATGNACTGGGCTCCGACACCACCGAGTGGTCACTGGATAGCCTGGGTATGCAAGGGATACAGGGTATGCAATCGCCGGGCAATATCGAAGTGGTGAGCACCGGTGGCTCAGGTGATAGTGGATTGACATCGTCTGTCGAGACGAGTGTCCAGTCTATTGATGTGGGAAAAGATAATTTAGTGTTTGAATTGCTGTTCCCGAGGTAGTTCTACAATTCCCGGTCAGTTGACGGGTGACAATTGTTTGTCTCAGAACGGAGGCTGCGGGAATGGTGAGGACGCGGATTGTGACAGTAGGTCTATGGCAACCTGGTGTATTTGGCTAGAGGTTTGTACTAGATCATTCACAATTATAGATTAGTGCTACTAAAATTAGATTCATTTGAAACTTTATTATTTATTTGCATATACAGTAATGTTTTGTTAATGTCAATAGTTTTGAGTTCAAAGTTTTTATTTAACTTTGTAATTGTAATTAACATTAATTTCCTAAACATTTAGACTCAAACAACAATCCCACCAAAAATCCTATTCAATACATGACAGCCAGACAACCGGTAGGACTTCCCCTCACATTCGTATCGAGCAGAACACCAGATAATCCGTGTCAGGTGTTTGCCAACAGTGGCGGTGGTGGTGGGGGTACAGACTCGCAGCCAATCTACATCCCGGCGCAGTCCACATCCATACCCACTGGACTAGACTCCCGGTCCGATCAGAAAACGGTCAAAATAATCATCGAAATGCCCGAAAGTATAGCCAAAGACATTGATGAGGCCAGTCGTTATGCTGCCACTCAAGTCAAACGATTACGTCAGCAACAGTCTTTGCCAGCGTGGCCATCATGACTACTGTCCCAGCTCGTTTGCCAATAATTCTCGCGGCTGCCAAAATTTGGTTTCTCTTTTTAGTTCTTTTTATAAGTGCTTTAGTAGGCTTTTCACCACCTTGAAGAAGAGGACAACACGGAGTCCGATGAGGATATCAGGGAAGGTAGTGGTGATCCTCCCCTACTCTGTCCTCCTGTCCATCTACACCTGTCATCACAACTACTGTACCGACTTCCGCGGTTAGTTTTCGTGCTTTTATTCGACTTCCAACACAGCTTTCAGCAGTTTTCACCAGGGTTTATGGCCACAACTAAGCAGAAGAAGTATATTGTGGTTCAGCGGAAGGGTAGGCGTCCCAGAAGGAAAGGCAGTCGACGACGTAATCCAAACCAATTGAAAAGTGTTGATAAATACAAGAAAGTTATCAGGGTTTATAAAACGTGATTAAACCTACCGTAATAAAAACAACACAGAAATGTGTATTCAATATTTGAATAAATTACTTAAAATTTATTTGCTTATTATATTTGATTATATACTAAAATAACATAATCATTGAGTTACATGTAATCCCATATCCCATACACTCTTCTTATTGACAACAATTTTCTTAATTTTGGGACAATTAGTGATTACATTATAAATACCTTTTAATGTAAACTTTATATTGCAATCATCGCAATGAATGGTTTGTATTTTACCGAGTTTGCACAATGAATGCAACAAATTGTCGGTTATATCTGTTTTCTCAAACATAATACTTTGAATCCGTGGTAAATGTTTGTCGATATTGTGTGTAAAGTCTTCGCCAACTCTTATACCATGAGACCAGACACAGAAATGTTCGATACGTTTGCATCGATTCAATGATTCACTACTCAATACAAACTGATCAGGTAAACTAACTCTCATTCGCACACGTTTTAATTGATTAAAGTATTGATTAATTGTTTGCAATAATTGAGACATTATTTCATAAGAATCAATGTCAACATGGAGTCCAAAAATCTTGAGTTTAGCACAATTGACGCCTATTTGTTTCAATTGATCCCATTTTAAATGCTTATTATGCGGTTGTGTTGAGTCATATAAGTGTATTAATAATTCATTTAATTGAGGCATTTGTGACAAACCATGTATTAGTATCGCAACTGACTTTTCATCGCAATTACTATCGATTTCCAGAGAAATTGATTTCACAGTCTTTGCATAGCTTTTGACAAATGTTTCAAATCTATTCGCATCTTCTTTCGTGTATTTGAATGAAAATTGTTTTAATCTATGAAACAACACCTCATTTGTGGGATCAATGAGAACGGCGGACAATGGACTCCAATAAAAGTTAAATTTTGTTAAATTTGTACAAAACTTAGCACAAGTGTCCACAAACTTCCAGATTGTGATGTCTTTGCGGTGATCACACGATTCAATTGATTTTAAACTTTTCGCAAACTTTACGAAAAAATTAACGATCGTCTCATTATTCAAGGCATTGAAATCAATGGAAACACGATTCAAATGATTGCAATGTTTTATAATTAATTTAATCTTTGAATTATCAATGGATCCAATGTTTGAAGTTATTTTTGTGATGTTTTGGCACTTCTTTAGTATCTATTCAAACGAAGTTTCATTTATTTTCTTAATACATGTCAGATGTGTTTGTGTCTTATGTATCAATGTCTGCCACTCTTTGGACAAACACTCGAAACGGAACCGGTCTTCGAGTTTGAGATAAGACAATAAGACTTCACACAAATCGGTACCAAATCTGTCGAAAGAGTCTTTTCCATAAACTTGCGGTACAATTGATTCACTTATTGATGCCATTCTTCTACGGTTGTCATCAGCGACTAGTTTGCCATCAAAAGATGGTCTCAATTGAAAGTCAAACAGATTTAGAATATTATTAGAATTGAAAGAAATGCAAAACACGTGTGAAATACAGTATGACTTTGGTCTTCAATCACTCTAATCCTGCACTTTATATGGGAGTCAATGTATGTCAATAGGCCAAGGAGTACAATGATAAAGGATTACCTGGGATAAGGCCCAGGGCATTATTATAACTATATTAAATCTACTGTATACAGCAGTTCAATAAAGCAAAAACATTTTTAAAATCCCATATTATATCAATTTATTAGCGGTACTAATTTTTTAATCAGTGTTATTAATAGCGCGATAATTAATATTTAAAACCAATTTTAATTAACGGCTAGAATTATAAACTAAAAAATTAAAACTATAAATCAGATCAAAGAATACAAATAAATTGAAAAAGTATTTGACTGATAACAGAAATATGTGGTCACAAATTGTATCCAAGCTAATTGTATTTCTGACTATAACCACAATGCTTGTGTCCAGTAGTCAAACAAACAAAACTACCTCATCTACTACTAAACACCCAACACCTAACCCTGAACATCGTATGGCACTCGCACTGGCGATCGTGGTGTTGGTGTTTTCCAGCATAATAATGAGTTTCCTGTTAATACTCTTTTGCTATACATTCTGTGACCTCAAGAATCGCAAAACAAAACCTAATAAACTACCAAAAAGTATACCAAAAGCCTATGAAGGGGCTGTTGGTGGTGGACAGGGATCTGACCCGAAAGGCAAGTTCGGTTACTTGAACTTCGATCTGAATCTGAATCTACACGTGGCAGACATGTCTCAATCCAATCTGGATAT